CAGCCAGGATGACATCCTCTGCTTTTGGATTCTGTCCTGAGTGCTCCCTAGGCTGTGCTGTGCCAGGAAGTCCATGAGGGAGCAGGATGTTCTTTGGCTGTTGGGCTGCAAGCAGCCATACGTGTCCCTGCTAGCAGAGGCAGGGGCTGCAGGCAGGGGGTACTTTTGGCCCACGGTCAGGAGATCAAAAGGGGGATGGATCCTGAGAAAACAACTGTTTAGGGTGTTGGGCCGTATTGTAAATGCTGGTTTTGTGGTTTAGCCTACTCTGTATCAGGGAGTCTTGAAAATACCTAAGCTTTTAGATCCATTGAAGTAATGACTACTACAAGCCATACATAGTAGTTACTGTAAGATAGTTGACATCAGTTGTGATCAGAAACTGCTTTCTTGTTTCTTTGTGCTTTTCTCTTAAAAAAAAAAAAAATCTACACACACTCAAAAAAATTTAAAATGGCTTTAAATTCCCAATGTGAGAATAGAAGCCTGATGTAGGGGAGGATTTCATTTTCTGAAATGTCTTGAAACAAACCTGTCCCTGTGAATATAAGGCAGGAAAAACCACAAATAGAAATTACTTGAAACTACACAATACTGGTTTTTTTCTTACTGTTATTTACTCACAGAGTGTACAACACACACATCATTGCTGTGCCTACCAAAGGCATATTATGGGAGGAGGGCAGGAAGAGGAGGTTTCTGTCATTAATTGACTTCCTACAGTATTATTTTGAGACTGTATTGATACAAGTCAGATGTGATTAAAAACCTCCATTTTAAATAATCCCAGGGTTACTTTAGTGGAAGTTTGGGCACTTCTATTTTTAGTAATTTCAGTAGAAATCACGGTAATATTTTTGTTAAAGCTGCTTCTTGAGAGTGGTATTTGCAAGTACCAAGCTACTTTTGGTCTATGCTGTTCTTATAAACTGGTCCCATTCTCCAGAGTGCTGAATACTCTTGGTTTTCAGGTACTGTTTCTTTCCTTTGGTCTTTTGTGATTCTTCTTTATTAATTATAAATCATCTTTTGGGTTGGGATGACTTTCAATACCACTGAGTATGCACACAAAGACTTCATGATCTAACTGAAGTATGGTCCAGTTGTAGCTAAGCAGAGCCGCAAGAGGAGGAAAACTGCAGCATTTGCAGCAGTATTAATGTCTGGTAGATCTGCCAAGATGCGCTGGTTCCGACACAGATTGACCAAATCTGCCTGGGTCTGGAGCACCGACTGACCAGGTTTTTATTTAAAAGTTAAATAACAACAAAACAACGACAGTTTTGAGTTTCATAGTGTATGTTCTCCAAGAACATCCTCCAAAATTGTGTCTGACTGGGGGATTTGGGTGTGCATTTAGAGAGGCTCCAACAGCAGTTATTTTTAGCCCACAAACACATCTTTTTGCTGTACCTAAAAAACAGCGATTCGTGCAACTTCAGAGGCTCTTCTGTCCCTAAATGTCACCAAAGAGAGCAGCTGTACGTGACGTGATTTAGTACTGAACACATTTGTTACACTCATTTCTATCAATTTATTTTGTATATAGAGCTTTTTATACACATTTTTCTTAATTATGTAACTGTCATGAAACGTCATGAAGCTACAAGTAGCTTGTTTTAATGCGGATTAAAACTGGTGTTTGGCCATTTGTTTTCTGAAGCCATTACTTGAATTTGTTTCCATAAGGTAGTGAAGTCTGATAATGTTTACAGGATCGCTTTCTTTGGTTTTGGGAGCTTTCCCATCTTTCTTCCTACCCCCTGTCCTAAGAAACAGAGAGCTCATGCTCAGTAGGCAAGCAGATGTGTCAGAAATTAAGAATTTGTATTACTTTGTCACCAAAGCATTGGGAGTGACATGCCGATTCCCTCCTGTTTACACTGCTTAGCTGACAACTTACAGATGCTTAGCATGATCCTCTGTGATTTCTCCTGTCCCTTATCCTGTTATCAGCTTTATTGTGGGAAACTTAAATCTTCCTGAATGATGATTTACAATCATGAAGCTATCCCAGAGAGAGGCAGCATTCCTGCTGTCAAGTCTGTTCCATTTTTAATTTAGATGAATGAAACATCCCTGGGTTATCTCTGCATTTCCTTTTGTATTTGCCAGCAAGGGTCATCAACATTTGCACTAATCACAATGTCCCAGCTGTTCTACTTCCACAAAGTTATTTTTAGTTGTGCTGCCTAAACTTGGAATGAGCTGTATTTAAGTTTGGGACGATGTGTAAAAGATACCTGTAATAATGATGCACTTGCATTTTTTTGTATGTTACAGATAGGACTCATCCTATGCACAGAGAAAATGTTGCCATTTATAGTTTAATACTTGAAGTAACTTTTTGAAACGGGCTTTTATAAATGAATTAAATATAAAATCACATTGCTTTGCCTGGAAGTTCCTTCATGTTTTAATTGTATTTGCAATTTCCCCATATGTATACTTTTCCATGAAGTTCTCTTAAGCCATTTATAACCAATGAAAGTGCATTCAAGATTTTGTACATCAGTGTTCAGACCTGTTCATACTTCTCTGAAGTATAATTCATGTTTAATAAAAAAGTACCATTTTAAGCCTCTTTTCCAAAGTGATATGGACTTGACACTTGAATTCATCAGTGAATGCAACATCAACTTAATAAAAGTATGTGAAAGAATCTGAAAGTGCTCAGCTGTAGCATCTGTGTTATTAGATCACCAAGAAACTGCCTACCTGGGAAACACTGCACCATTGCTCTGGTTTTTACACTCCAGCTGCAACAAACCTCAGATTACACTCACTCTTGACACATCTTCCAGGTCACTGGGTCTTGTGGGGAAATAAAAAGCCTGACTTGTGGCTAAATCTTATTCCTCCAGGATACTAAGCCTGACTTAGAAGTCAACTGCTCAAACAAGAATCAGCCATGTTCCTTTTAGATCAGGAACAATCTGTGTAAGAGAGCTGTAGCACCCAAGTTGACACTGACATGACAATGACAGTGGCAGTTAAAATCAACAATTCTTTCCAGAATTTTTTTAATGGAACATTTTATAACATTCCATGAATTCCAGCCTCATCCTCCATCTCTGCAGTTCTAGTTCCCCTTGGTCCTTGCATGCCTGATGGCAAGTGTCCTAGTCCTTCTCAAGCACCTGGTGTACACAGAGCAATCCCTGAGGAAGGGTGACCAGCCCAAGCCACATGGCCAGTAGCGGCAGCTGAGCCCTTTCAACAGAGCAGGAGTGTTCTCCAGGCTTTCAGAAGGCAATCACTGAAGCCATCTAGGTTATAGACAGCTGAAGCTAAACCAGGTTATCTATATATTGCCACCACTGCACCTGGTAACTTGCTGTTTAAGCCCTGAAGAAAGAGGGTGGGCAGATGGTAGAGAGGCAAAGAACTTCTCTAACAAAGCAATAATAATAACACATACACTGTTTCAGGGGACTACTTTTAATGTAGTATTTTGTACACCACCCTAATTACAGTGAAATACCATAACAGGTATGAGAGCAGATCCCAGGGTAGTGCACAACATGTGACAAATATAAATGTGCTGTATTATTCAACATGTCCACTTCTTTGTCACATTTAAGTGGTTTAAATGATCACTGATGTATCTGTGCTCAGGAAACTTGGCTTGTTTCAGGCTTTTGAAAGCTTCCCACTTGGCACGTCTCTCTTCCGAGTTGTGTTTGTATTCCTGTTCCTGTGTCAGGTAAGGTTGGCTGAGCCAATATTCATTCTCTGCTTCAATTTCCAACCTTCGGACCATTGCTTGCTTCATCGAAATGGTAACCTGTCTTGGTCGCCTGTACTTCCCAATCCATTGTTTTCCAGGAATTCCCTTCCGCAGTAATACTGTTGTTAAAAACATTTTGCCTTAAAACACAAATATAAAATACTTATTACTTAGGGGAAAAAATAAAACTTTGACAAGAAAGATTAAAAGCTCTACACTCACTCCACTGCCTTTTAGCTGGCTGGTTTGAAGGCTCAGAGCCGGGTACTCACAAACCATCACACACAGCAGGGCCAGATACACTGGAAACTTAAGAATCAGAAAAGGGGAATTGAAACTTAAGAATGTATTCAGTTATCCTTACACTGCAATTAAAGCATATCCTCCATAAATTATTTAAGAAAAACCCAGTCACAGATACTCAAGAATGACGGGTTCACTTTGCTCATGCCTTCTACAAATAGCTAGCTGTGTTGTCAAAACAGAGTATTTCCAGCTCTGTCTTCTCTATCCAAATCTGGCCTTTCCTCAGCATGAGGTTTTGGAATACAGTCTCTCCGTAAGCTTATTAGTATGTAATTACCCAGTCTTGTATCCTGACCGAGGAAATCTGGTTGGCAGAGAGAAGCAATATCCTGAATTAGACCAAGTGGCATAAGCGGAAAGCACCAACAGACCCTGACACAACACGCTGGGTGTAAGGGGCGGGAAAGGCCGAATGACGTCTAAACTTTACAAATGCTCCTCCTTAGCCTGTTCATTAGTCCCGCACCCGCTAATGCCCAGGTTTAGCATTATACGGGATTTCATCAGCTTTAGAGAATCACAGAATACGCGGAGCTGGAAGGGACCCACATCGAGTCCACCTGGCCCTGCACACGACATTCCCCGGAGCCACACCACGTGCCTGGGAGAGCTGTCCAAACCCTTCACGAACTGTCAGCCGTGACCAAGAAGTCACCCAAGCACTTTTAGCAGCACGGTCGCAAACAGAAGCCAACCCACCCCGTTCCCACGGTGCAACTGCACGCCGGCGTCCCACTCTCTGGCCCGGTTGAGAAGCGAAGCCGCGGGGATGCGCGGGGGCCCCGCTGCCCCAGTCCCCAGTTCCCCTCCCGGCCTCACTCACCGGGAAGCTCCGGCGGCGGGCGCGGCCCCGCGGAGCAGCCAAGATGATGGCGGCGGGCGGGCGGGCGGGGAGCGCGGCTCTCGCGAGAGGCGGCTGCGGGCGGGGCCCGGCCGCGCCAATGGGGCTCGCGCGGGCGGCAGTTTGAAGCCCCTCAGCGGCGCGCGGCCCGGCCCGGTTTCGTTGAGGGCCGCCCCGGCCCCGGCCCCGGCCCCGGCTCCGGCCCCGGCCCCGCTCCGCTTTCCCCGCTCCGAGCCATGGACGTGACCGGGGACTTCTTCGGCAAGCTGCGGGAGCTGGCTCTCACGGTGGAGAAGGAGGTGAAGCAGCTGGAGCAGGCCATGCGCCGGGAGGACGCGGGTAAGAACAGCCCGCGGCCGCACGGCTGGGCCTGGTGGCTTCGCAGCGTTCTCGCCTGCCGGTGTCCCCTGTGCTCCTCTGGGAGCGCCTTTGGGGGGCCCGGAGGCCAGCCTGGGAATTGCTCGGCTTGGAATAGTTTGGGGTCCTCCTCGTCTCGTAGTCTCTCTGAGCTCCGTTGTGAGTGTGTGGCTGAGTTTTTTATCACGGAGAAAAACAGGATGACTGGGATGAAATAAGAAGCGCGTTCTTCCTTCTCCTTCTTTTCGTGGATCGATATAGGAAAACATTTGCAGGGCATGTTCCCTCTCTTGATAGATAGCTCAGGCTTCTAATTGTGTTTATCTCTGTGCTATGTCTTGTTATGTAGCAGGTGCCCTCTTTTAGACTATTTGCATTAGCCTTGGTTTCCAGTGAAAAAAGTAATGACTGCTGCGTTGTGTAAGTGAGCAATTCATCTGCCCACCTGCAAATACGATGGAAGAATTCCATTTTCTGCTGAGATTTGTTTTTCACTGGTCTCTGTATCACTTTTTTTCTGATTTCATCCAAGATCTTCAGGGATAAGATTTTAACACAAATAATTCTTGACAGCCCAGGAACCTACTTGTTTTATCAATATCTGTCATATACAGTATTAGCTGCAACGTTAAAGTGAAAGTGTGGAAGGGGCTAACAGCGGGCCTGTTAGCTAAAGGAGCGCGAAGAAGCTGAGAAGAAAGAAGAAGCTGATAAGGAGCTGTCACCAAGGAGACCAAGAGAACTGAGGAACTGAAGAAAGATAAGAAGAGAACTTCACAGCCGCACAAAGTATTTTTAGAAAGTTAGTTAAGTCACTGTAACTTTTCACCAATGGTGTTATGTTGATTTATTGTGTCCAATAGTTAGGGTAGAAGAAGCATAAACAATTAGAAAGTGTATAAAAGGTCAGCCATGTTCAACAATAAAGAGTTGCCATCTGAGACTGCTTGTGGTCTCTGCTTTGTGTCGTGACCGCCTCGACAGCGACACGAAAGTCTGGGCAGTTTCTCTGTGGAGTTTAACACGCTGTACAAAGAGCGGTTTTTTGCTGTGTGAAGTACCTGACAGGAACTAGTTCTCTTTGGTTTTGTCTGTATTGACTCTCTAGGGTATGAATCCAACATCTTTAATATTATAGAAGCACAGAATGGTTTGAGTTGGAATAGACCTTAAAGATCACCTAGTTCCAACCTGCTGCCATGGGCAGGGACATCTTCCACTAGACAAAGTTGCTCAGAGCCCCATCCAGCCTGACCTTGGACACTTCCAGGGATGGGACATCCACAGTTTCCCTGGGCAACCTGTTCCAGTGCCTCATCATTCTCACAGCAAAGAACTTCCTCCTAATATCTAATTTAAATCTTCTGTCTCTTTGTTTGAATCAATTCCCCCTTGTCCTGTCATTACGTGCCTTTGTAAAAAAAGTCCTTCTCCATCTTTCGTGTGAGCTCTCTTCAGGTACTGGAAGGCTGCAATTAGTTCATCCTGAAGAAGCCTCTCTTCCAGGCTGAACAATCCCAATTCTCTCAGCCTTTCCTCACAGGAGAGGAGCTCCATCCCTCTAAACAACCTAGTGTCCCTCTGTACTCGCTCCAGCAGGTCCCTGTCCTCCCCGTGCTGGGACCCCAGAGCTGAAGCAGCCCTGCAGGTGGGGTCTGAGCAGAGCAGAGGGGCAGAATCTCCTCCCTGGCCCTGCTGCCCACCGCTGGGTGCAGCCCTGGCTCTCTGGGCTGTGAGAGCACACTGACAGCTCACGGCCAGCCTCTCATCTGCTAATACAGGAAACTGCCATGTAGAATGTTACTTTCATGCTAAAACACTAAGACATCTCTTTTTATTTTCTAAACTCTTTTATGTGGACATTCATCTTGAAGACTATGAAGATGAATCTCCGCTCGCAGTCTTGAATGACCTCCATGGCGAAATCAAGGCTCAGAAGGTAACTTCTTAACTTGCTTCCTTCTTGAAAAATCACATGTGTGTGCATGTTCCATAAACTTATGGTTCTCTTTTGGTTGTTAAGCCACAATTCAACTTTGTTAGTCAGTAATTATAACCCTTATTTTTACTCACTCACATCTAAGTCCTCATAATGGCCATGGATATTGGGGTAAAGCCCAAAAACTTGTGGGTGACCCAAAGCAGGCTTAGCAATGTTTCTTAGTTTGCAGTCACTTCTGTCACTCGGGCAAGCAGGGAACAAAGGTTACAAGGAAGTTGGAGCGGTGCCAAGGTATGAAGAGAATGATTCAGGAACAGCAGCTCCCAACAAAAGAGAAAAGCTTGCTTGCTTTCCATGACCAGCCTTTAGGATAACATCAGTCTTCACAGAAGTTTCAGTACTTTCAGCCATGCAGTTAAACTTGTGAAAAATGTTGTCTATTTCTTAAGCAGAAGTAGAAAAAATGGGTTATAGAAATGAGCAGTATAGAAATAATTGAGTGATATAAAAGTGAAGTTTACCTTTTGCTCTGCACTTATTCTTTGTACACATGGAGTAAGAGTTCAAACTAATTGCTGTTACCTCATATTTTTCTGGAGTAAAAGCATATAATTTCCTTGGCAAGGTTACCAGTAAGTAGTTATCGTGTTGTGAATTGTCATTACAGTGACTTTTATAAGTTTCCATACACTTGGGCTCTATGTATTCCTGGTATTCCATAGGTATATATACCTGATGGTTTGCAGGTATAGAAAAGACCTAAATTTGCTGCTTATCTTCATCTGAATTGCAATTGAATACTTATTCCCAAAATGCTTCATGTGTAAACACCTACTGTGTGATGATTTGAATACCAGTATTTCTATGTTCCTCTCTCTCTGTCCCCAAAGGAAGATGTTAGTGCCAGTCTTGGTAAGATTTGCTCTGAAAAAAAAGCAGTTCAAGAGTTTATGAAAGCAAGTGAAATCTTGATGCAAAGAAATGCAGCAGATCTTGGAAAAATAAGAGAACTGTTCCAGAAATATGGCTACAAACCAAATGTCAAAGACTCTACAGGTAATGTTTCTTGTCAATACAGCATGTGAAAAAAAGTATCATTTTTATAAAATGTTTCTCTTTAGCTATGTGTATATTTCTATTAATTAGGAGATTTAAGTACACCCATTTTATTTGCTTTATAATAATATCCAGAGAGTAGATTTTGTGGGAATTGGTGCTGTAAGAATAAACCAAAACACAAACACTTGGAATTAGATCTTCTGGCATGCCTTTAGGTTAGTGTGTGTTGGGTTTAGGGTTTTTTCAGTAATAATTATATTGAGAAAATATGTTAGCAAGTTTGTTTTCATAACCCAGATACTTGTGCTGCTTCAGTTACTCATGAATGAGGAACTATTGTAGATGCACCTCAGCTGGTTTGTATTCACATGTGACAGTTTCATCAACTTAAATCACCTCAGAGAAAATCTTAAAATGTCTGTTTCACAGCACAAATTAAACAAGAATGCTTAGGAATTAGGTGGCATGTGACAAGCAGTAGCACCTTGATCATTGGAGGGGAAGGAGGTCCTCAATCCACTCAGAAAATGTGCATAGAACCGTCTGAAAAATCCAGATGTGCCAAATGAGTTAAAGTACTACACCTGTCAATACTGCACATACTCCTTTGGGTATCAAGGGCCCAGTCAGGCTTCAAAAAGCTTTTGACATGGTCTTAACTTTCTCTGAGCATTATCATAAAACAAAATTGTGGTTGTGAACTGTACTGATGTCCAAGTTAAGCTCCTATACCTGTTTTATACAGATAGGGCAGAAGCTCTGATTTTTTTAGTATCTTTCCTCCTATATCCTCTTTGCCTTTAAAGAAGTCTCCAAACAGAGCTACAAGGTTAAGTTTTTTAAGTTGTACTTTTAAGCTAAGTGTATCTGAAGACATAATACCACAGCACACCAGTGGATATATTACTTTAAATAGCCTCCTGCCCCCTACCCACCTCACAGAATCAGTTAAGTTGGAAAAGACCTCTGAATCATCAAGTTCAACCTGTGGCTCACCATCACCAAGTCAACCAGACCATAGCACTGAGTGCCATGTCCAGACTTTCCTTAAACACCTCGAGGGATTGTGATTCCACCACCTCCCTGGGAAGTCATTCCAGTGTCTAATTACCCCTTCTGTGAAAAAATTCATACTGATGTCCAACCTGAATCTTCTTTGGTGCAGCTTAAGAATGTCTTCTGGTTCTACCACTTGTTACCTGGGAGAAGAGCCTGACCCCACCTGGCTGCACCCTCCTGTCAGGCAGCTGCAAAGAGTGATGAGGTTCCCCTGAGCCTCCTTTTCTCCAGGCTGAACACCCCCAGCTCCCTCAGCTGCTCCTCACAGCACTTGTGCTCCAGACCCTTCACCATATCATTGCTCTTTACTTACTACATCATGCAGAAATTCATCAACACTTTGGGGTGTTTTGGTTTATCTAACTCCAAAAATGTACAAATTACACATTTACATATTTTTGCAGTGAACTCTTGTTACCAAAAAAGCTGTCTCCTTTCACAAGTTTTTAGTTGCTTCTTCATAACCTTTCCTCAATACTGTTTTTCTGAAGAATGAGCATTTTAGTACTGTGTGCAACCTTTGCTCTTCCCCAAAAACCTTTTCATCTCCATGCAGGGAGAAAAATACACTTATGTAAAAAGCCTTGAATTTCACTTTCCCTAGAAATAATATTTACCAATAGAGTGAAACTCAGTAAATGTGTGACTTATAAATATAGCTTAGCCATATGAGCTTTTGATACCTGTTGTAGCTTCAGGTTCAGTACCTTAAAGTGAAAGAAGGAATCTATTTTTACAACAAGAAGTAAAAAAATTTGAATACTGGGGAAGTGTCACAATTTATTTTATAAATTCTTAAAACAAACTTCTGACATATTTTTTTTTTTCCATTTCTCTTCTTAAAAAGAAGAGGAGGATGAAGCAAACAGTGAATCAGCAACGTCTGTTCAGAAGAGCTCTGATGAAGAAAAAGCAAATGATGTACCTCAGCCATCTGCCTCTGCGGAGAAGCCACCGTTGCCCAAAGACCCGCTGCGTAACCCCCAGCTCTCCGATTTCGGTCTCTCACAGTACGCGTTCTCCAGGCCTTGGAGCGCGCTGAAAGCGCAGCACGCAGCGGGTGCGAGTCAGCTGAAGGCCAAGAGCGAGACTCCACTTGGATTGCGAACACCGCGGGCTTTGCCCAAAACACCGAAATGTAAGCTGAAGATGGATGACTACGAGTGTGTAACGCCAAAACTCGAACACTTCGGCATTAGTGAACATACCATGTGTATGAACGAAGATTATACGATGTCACTTATTCATAAAACTTCTCAGACAATCAAAAAGTAAGTTACTGGAGTTCGGATTGTTTCTCTGCTGAATTTTCTGTATTTTCTTCTTGATGTACTGATTTCTTGCTCCTATTGCCCTTCTCTTTGTCTTGAGGTGGGCGATTGTTATCTCTCAGGTGCTGGGTCCTGTGTCATTTAACTCCCTACACATCTTTTCATGTACCCATTGCAGTGCCAGATGCTGACATGAAATACGTCTGCAGTGCTCTTTGCCTTGACTGCACCATAAGAATCCTCCATAATGTACTAGAAATAGTAAAACACAATGTGATCTGTTGTTTTCCTTAACCAAAGGTTTGAGCCTGGCCTTGTCTGCCATAGATATTACACAGCCTGTATAAAGGTTGCAGAAGCTTTATTAACATATAAACAGAAAACAGTTTGTAAAGCATTCATTAAATTTATAGAAGCACTGTATTGTCTCTAACATAAGCCCCACCTTACGGTTTATTCCTTTTGCTCCAGTCTTCTCTTGAAAAGACTTCTCTAGATTTTCACTGTTCTAATTATAAAGGAAAATAATTGCAGCAGTGAGGTCATGCACATAGTTAATAGGTCATGTTTTTATAGTTAGTATTTGCAGTATGTTCCATTTTAAAAGCTGACAGTACCTAAATATTTGATATTTAGAGAAATTGTTTTGAAAACAAGGATCATATGCATGAAAACCACTTTAAAAATTCTACTGGTTCTATTCATTGTAAAAACTAAAAATCATGTGGTTTCAACTACCTCTAAGACTTCAAAGACAAAACTGACTTGAAAAGTTACTTTTCTATTTAACCCAAAGTTTGAGATGTGTTCATCTAAGTGAAATATGCTGCCTCATATACTGCTTATACTGTTTATTGGGTGGATTTTTTCAGCTTAGAAATTTTGTAGAGAAGATCTAAATCTGGTTATAATAATTAAGATTACTTTTTAAACATTTAAAATAACTTTCTTTAAAGACACAGATTTGTGTGTAGGTTAGGTAAGTTTCCACTTTTTGCCTAGTTTTTTCTTAACTGTATATGCCATTTCTTCACTAGAAAATCTTGGATATGAAAAAATAATTTTTAAAAATTCTGTTTCCAATGTTATGGAATTGATAATAAATAGCTTTCACTTTGAAAGTCACTAAATTTTCTTTTAAAATAATTTTGGGATCTCTCCTTTTAAATAGTTATGTAATTACCAAAATTACTTAAAAGCTCTGTAGTATTTGATTAAGATAAACAATTTTATTTAAATTTTAAAATTCAATTAAAAATCTTTTCCTGTTCACAAGACCCTTATTAGTTTAAAAGCAGAAAAGATTTCCTCTTGTTCTGTATAATTTCATAGTCAACAGGCAGTTCAAAATAAAACCCCAAACACAGAATTGATCATCTGTGGCATCTGTTGTACCCTGGACGTCTGGTTTGGGTTTGGATTTTTCGTAATGCCTTAGACTGAAAGCTCAGTGTATTTGATCATTTGTGGCTGGACTGAACATCTGCATACCACAAATTGCAGTAGAATCACACATGAAAAAATCTATGAAAAATTCATATTTGAGAAAACTAATTTTTTACTTGCATATTCATAAGTGAATACTAGAAAAGTGACTAGGTTGGCAACATTCCTTTAATTGTGACTTCTTCGTAATACTTGAGAGCTAATTGGGGATTTGGTTTTCAGGTTGGTTAAAAGAGGAGATAATAATGGAGGGAATTTGCCAGAAATGACAGTCAAGGAAATCATGGTTACTCCTGCATCAAAATCAAGTAAGAGAGCTAAGAATGGTAAGTTAAAAATCTGTGAAATTAATATACCTATGCATTTTTACAGAATGCATGTACAAGTGCATTGTAAACACAATGGTTAACTTGAATTGTGTTTCTGGTTAAATATGTTTAATTCAAGGCAAGTCATTTTATGAGTAGTAATTCTAAAAAATGCATGAGTAGTAATGTCTAAAAAGTGTTGGTGGCTTCTATGGGAAAGTTTCTTACGCCCTGTAAATTTTTTCTCATTCTTGTACTCATATCAAATTGGAATTATGCAGTCGAATTAATAATTTTGTAACAGCAGCTTATCCATGTTTGAAATAAAAATACTGTTTTGCCAACTTAGCCTTTTTTTTTTCCTGAGAATACCCATTGTATTTGTTTAAAGACAGGAAAGAAAGGGGCTAGCATGACAGTAATTTAAGACTTTCAGGATTAACGCTAAGACTTCTTTGAGAGGAGAAATAGGTTATTTTAAAAATCTTGAGACAAACATAGTGACAATTGGGTAAATGAGAAGGTAAAGCAATGCTGATTTAAGTTGGGCTTCTCCAGTTATATTCAGTAGTGGGACTAGAATGACTACTTTGCATTACCTGCCTTTAAGGAATACTGTAATTTGGATGGATCAAGCAAAATATCAACTAAAAGGATACACTTGTTTTCGGAAATGAAACTGGAACTGGTAATAGTTATAAATGTGTGTGTGTAATATATATTTTTAATTTTATTTTGCTCATCCTTAATAGCAGCAGCTGACTGGATGGCTTCTCCTATGGTATTTGTGTTCTGTACTCCTGACGTGAAGGACTCCTCCAAAACAAATAATACAGTATTATCAAGGTCACCAGAGACAAAGGAACTGCCTCTTCCCAGTCATGCAGCAACACCACAGTGTCCAGATTTTCAAACAGGATGGCTAAAAGCAGAAGCTAAGGTAGTAAATAGCAATTATGTACATTTTCACACACATTGCCGTAAGCAGATTTTAAACTGTTAGTTTGGGGTCCTTTTCCAATGCTATTTTTTCTTATGTCACTATAAAAGTTCTTTCTAATAGTAATTATGTAAGAACATTTACTAAGTACTTTACCTAACATACGTAAATTAACTGAAGGCATTTAATAATTCTTTTGCAGCAGCAGGTAACACCAGGGGGGAAGCTTGAGTCAGTGACAAAAAATGATGCAAAAGATATGCCACGCAAAGAAGAAAGGATTCCTTTTGCTGCAAGCTCTGATGAGTATCTTAAACATACTGGGGACCCTTCCCCGCCCAAACTGGAAGACTATGACCATTTACTCAATACTCCTCCACCTCCAGAAATAACAAGGATACCAGATAATGTTCTAAAGGTTAGCTAATACACTATTTTTCCCTAACAAATTTTAATATCAAAATGCTATAATTAAAAGGGCCTAGTTCTATCTGTAATCCATCTGTTTTGAGTTCTTAAGTAATTATTTTTATTCCTGTTTAATCTTTCCTATAGATGCTTTCCCAATATAATCATAAGGTAGACTCTTCTAAAGCCAAGGAAATGGAGACCAAGGCAGGAAATACTACAAGATTTGAAAGTGGTTCCACTGATTACAGCAACAAAGAGAACAGGTATGATTACACTTTACAAGTTTGGTTAAGTAATTTAATTTGTAGGAGGTACAAAGAGGCTTTAATGCGCTTAGAAATTCACGTAGTTGCTTGCTATTCAACTATCAAAACAGCTCTTGTTTCTGTGACTAAATAACTGGGGGTTTGGCATTTTATATAACTGCCTGTTTGTAAAGAACAAATATTACAGCTGATAATGTGTTTGGATCCTCCCAAATTCAAAAAGAAAAAAAAAAGGAAGGCAGAATTTTCCTGTAGGTTTATCTGTAGGTATACTGTGCTTTGTGGCAATGAAAGCACCAGTGGATGCTTTCTGGGTAAATTTAGGCAATGCAATGAAAGAATTTGGTAAAAAGTATCTAAGTGAGAATTGATTTCACACTTGTTTTGGTAAAGACAAAATACTTTAAATGAAAAGCTACAATAAGTATGAGTAATCTTAAAACAATTGAATTATAGTTTTATAAAGAATATAAAAAACACCATCAGTTTGAATATAAAGAAGTTTTTATGACAGCTTTATCAAAGCATACATATTCCTGATTCAGTGTAATATATAGTATGCTTGTTGTTTACCTGTTAAACTTAGAGTCTGTAAAGATTATTTAAATAGGTGGTACAAGGAACATGTAAGGAACAACAACCCAGAGTGACACTGATAAAAGTTGGTATCTTGCTATACTTGGAAGTTGGAATCCATTTGAGTAATCTCACTTTAGCTGAGAAAGCTTCATTTTTTGTTGTCAAGACAAAAAAAAAAGACAAATTTTCAATATTTCTGTCTTCTGATAATTCAAAATATGATTTAAATAAGCTCATGAACACATCTGGGTATATTTTCAGAGGATATCATGGAGTTTTCAAGACAAACATCTGAAATGAAACTGAAGACCATGTTGAAACTTTCACATTCATGGATCTTATCACCAAATCATAACAAGTTCAAAAAGCAAAAGGAAATACTGGTGGGAAGAAAGAGCCATACTGAGAAAAGGCTTTTTTAATGGAGAACAGTTCTTTATCCATGATGTGGATAAACTTGTTTGAACTAACAGCTTGTTGTTGACTTAATCGGCAAAATGTATTGAGGGATTTTAAACATATTGCACTTCCAAGAGGAATGGAAATCCATGTACAATGTGGTACTTCAGTTGTTTGTTGTGTAGGATTGCATTTGCAGTAGGCTGTAGAGAGTGCAGTTAGATTGTAATAAAAGTCCAGTATATTGCTTTCAAAAGTGGATATCTCTGGCTGTTCTGGTGGCTGTACATCCTTTCAGGGCTGAAGCTGAAGTCTGGTACTTCAACAGTATTTGGTATCTTCAACAGAAACAAGTAAATTTCTTTGTATTGGAAAAGTAACTCCTGCTTTACTGTTTAAAGCAGTTCTGGGCTTTCAGTCCTTTCTGCAGTGCTAAGATGTATCTTACACATTCCTGCATCAGACTGACTGTTACCTCTCTGCCAGACAGGCATTTCCCTTGCAGATTCTTTCTTTATATATCAACATAGTATCTCTCAGCTGCTGTGCATCTGGTTTCTTTGTAGCCTTGGAAGGTGACTCCGGCTCTACTGGGAATCAGTTGAAAATGTGCAATTGTTACTAGTTATATGTATCTTCAGCTGCTTGGAAGAATTTGCTGGCAGGCCTGTAGGTGGTTGCTTCCTCGCCTGCTGCTGCCATGTGTATTCTCTTCAGTGCTGGTGTCACTTATAAATGTGCACATCTAACCCTTTAGTAGCTGACCAAGCTGAAGTTCTCAGAGCTGTCTGGCAGTCTTTTGGTAGTCATTGTAATTAGGGATTTTTTTCTACCAGCACTTTTATTGTTTTCCACCAGAAAACCCAGCTCCATTTCCTTATTTGGAGGCAATTTGCTGTTTCCAGTGTCAGCTATTCCTCTTAAGTGACTCCAGTACTGTTCTTACTGTATGTCTTCCATTTGATGACTGAAATTCTGTCATTTATGTGAGGGCAGACATGCTACACATGAGAAGGGAGAGGCTGTCGCAGGAGATGGGGATAAGTGGATGGTTTTCTGAACTCAGCTCCACTTTTTTTAAGTCTTCAGGATATGCAAACATCTAGAGAAACCTACAAGTATTTCTTCCTTTGCTTAGACTTGTCCTGGTTAAAACTTGACAAGCAAAGGTGCCTTTTTCCTGCTAATACAGTCATTTTCCAGGATAAGCATGCATCACATTAATTGGAGGTGATTTTCTACTAGATCTGACCTGAGCATGCTGTCATTGAAAATGCTTATTAAAATTATGTATATATTAATGTGTCAGTCTGTAAGCTTAATTAACACTTTTGGAAACTAGATAAATCTGTTCAAATGCTTGGTGTCTGCTATAAAAATACTTGTTTATTCTACCCATCCTCCTCAGAGAGTGAAGGCCTGCTTCCAGCTTTTTCATGGATTAAAGCCTGGTTCTGCAGTTCTGCTGGTTCTCTGGTTCTCTGCTGGTTCTGCAATTTCATGGCCTTGGAAAGGTACCAAGTATTCTTGCTGCAGAGCAAGAGGGTTTCAACCAGGCATATTTACCAGCACTAAATGGGAGGGATTCACAGCCTGCAGTCTCTTTCTTGCCCTGCAGCAAGCCAGATAGCCTTTTAACATGAAATGGAACAAGCAGCACCACTACAGACCTTGCTGTATTCCTCCGTCTTCAACTACTGAAATTCACAAAAGGGCTTAGAGAAGTCTTTTCCCTAAACTTTAGAAGAACTCAGCACTCCACTGTGCTTTCCTCCATTAGGAAACTGTGGAGCTGTACCTTATTTGTGGAGCTGAGTTTCTCACTGCAAAGCACGTGCATAATTTTGCTTGCCTATTAATATTTTCTGCTATATATTATTAACTAATAATTACCTTCAATATGACAGTTGAAACCTTAAAATCTTCTGGTCTACTCAAGCTGTTGTGATATGATACAGGGATGAGACTTTTTGGAATCAAGAAATGAAGTTGCATGTGTCAGTTTTGTTTTTATTGCATTCAATATTACTCTAATACATGTAATATTTTTGTTTGTATTCTTTTTTTATAGGCAAAGCATTGCTCTGAGATGAGATAAAATCATGACAGCAAAACAAAAACTAGTTTTAGTTTGCTGTAATTCACCTTTGAAATTCTTTTAGGTTTCAGAATGTCGTAAACAGTAGTTTGAGTAATGGGAGTGGGTGGGAGGGAGGGAAATGACAGCAGTGAAAGTGCAAGCACTGGAACAGGCTGCCCAGAGAGGCAGTGGAGTATCCTTCTCTAGAAATATTCAAACCCCACCTGGATGCAATCCTGTGCAATCTGCTGTAGCATGGGAGGTGGGACAGGTGGGTGTATGGTTGTCTGATCTATTGGGAAAACCAAGGATGCAGCCATGGGGCTGAAGGAGGGTAAAACTCCTCTTAAGCCACTGTTGTTGCTGGAGAAAGGCTCATCCAGCTGCACTATAAAGTTAATAATGTGTCAAAGTGGGAATGATGCAAAAGAACTTAAATTTTCAAGTTGGTTTGTTGTGGGGTGGATCTCTTTAACAGCATTGGTGTGTCAGGAAGTGCAGTTTGGATAAACAGTAGCTACATAAGTAGCAAACAGAATGATTCTGTAAGAGACAGTCATCACCTGAAAAAAAGCAAAATTGCCAGAGTACAGTTTTGTGTTGTGCTTTATTTAGTTTAACTGGGGGCTGCTTCCACTGGAGGCTGTTTCACCAATTCCCTTGCACATCATTTAGGGGTTGCACTGTTTTACAGTGCAACCCCTAAATGCATAGATTTCTTCATTTGCCAAGACACTGAAAGGCTAATTATTTTTGTTTTCTCATCTTGTTTGTCCTTCCCAGCTGTAATCTCAAACTCAGCTTTTGCCCATGTGAGTGCTTGATCAGATGTAAGGGAAGGGTGAGAAGGGAGATCACATCTCCTAGCAGTGCCTGCTCTTAGAAAAGATTGAACACAGCACAAAATTTCCCTTCAGTATTTAAAAGCATCTGGGAAGTAACCAAAAAAGCATAGCCCTTACTTTTCCTTCATTTGCTGTGGTTCTTAATATTTTTCTTTTTTTTTTTTTAAGTATATCAAATATTTCAGCTAACAGAAGCTTCTCCCCCTAATCCCATTTGTTGTCAAAGGAGCATCTCAACTGTTCGGCCCAGGAAGCCCCTTAATAAGGTGGTCAGTGCTTTCTTATCTGGGCAATACTTTGCCTGAGGTTGAACACAATTATTGTGAACACACTGAGGTCTCTCAGTGAAATTGAACCTCCCAGATGGTTGTCAAAGGGATAATTGCTGAGGATTACTTCTAGTGCCTCCCATTGTGTTTTATTGGCGATTTTATTAACCACTGGAACAATAATTGGAGTCCAGGCTTCCTTGCTTTTTAAAGCACCCTGGCTGCTTTAAATGTCCTGCAAAATATCACATTTGCTTTGTTCTCACTTGTCACTGTTCAAATGTTCTAGCACTCATGGTGGTTGTATGTGCTCCATCAACAGCTGTAGCTGATGTTGGATCTGCTTTCTGTTTTGGGAGTACCTTTGTTGTTCCCTGTGGGACAATAATACAGATATTGTGGCGTTTATAAGGAGCAAAGATAATATCCAGTGGCCACACTATGGAATCACTCGTGTGTTAGTCCAAAAGAGCACAATTTTCTGTCAGGAAGACATTGGCTGATGCTGCCTGTATCAACTTAAATATAAAACCGTATGCTTTTCTTACACTAATACCTACTTTTGTAAAGGGGCAGTTGACATCCTAGTAGGAGCTGACCAAATCCAGGAATTTCTTTGAACTTACCTTGCCTTACTCAAGCTGAAGAGTTTTAAAAAAAAGTAGCACAAATGTGTCTGCATGGGAAATGGTCCATGGAATAAGATGCTCTGTCACACAGGCATTTATCCTGGGGAGGGGCCAAGTTTGCAGAATACCCAGCAGAAAGGCATTCAGATGCTTCCATCATTTTTGGCATATTGTATTCCTGGCTTAAAGCCCTGGGGTAACATTCTCTAATGATTGCTTATGAAATTGTTGTAAACCAATCTAGAGCCTTCTGCATGTTCCCACCTTTCCTCGCCCAGCTGCAGGTCCCACGCCATAGGTTGTCGGTTGCATCACAGCAGTTGTGACTGCAGGGAAATCCATTCCTGCTTGCCCAACCACCAGGAGCTAATTACTGTTTTCCAGGATTAAATTGTTCAGGGACTGTGCACTGACCCAAATCACTGCCTGCCTGCAAAGGCATTGATGGTTGTTGAGGCATGAGAGGGGTAAGGACAGGTGTGGGAGCCGGGACATCCTCCTTCCCTGGCATGGTGAATCCTATCCTGTCTGTCCGGCTGCTTTGGTAAGGTTGCCTAAGGCTGTTCCTCCATAATCACTTCAGTGGCAGCTGAAGAAATTCCTCCTCTTCACCACTGCACTCCTCACAAACTCCCCTTCCGTCTCCCTGGGACAACTGCTTGGGTGGCTGTGCATGAATCGAGCTGGAGAGAACAGAGCTGCTGGGACCAACCTGACACTTGGAAGAGGGCCCTGTGCACAGTTGTAGTGTTGTGGCTTGTTCCTGGCCGTGTAGGTTGCTCTGGCTGGTGGGACCTATTTCAAACCTTTAGTACTTCTATAAGCATGTGCTTCCCTTCTCCTTTTCTAGCATAAGCCTCCTGCTCTCCAGAGCAGTTGTTAAGGCAAAGGCAGCAGGAGTGGGGCATGTTTTGCCAGCAGACCTTGACCTGGACTCTACACAGCTCCAACTGAGCAGGCGCTTGTGGGTTGGGGACTGCTGTATGCCCGGTGCCCTTCCTCAAATGCCCTCCCTGAAACCACTGTTGTGGTTTCCCCTCCTGTCCTCTAAAGCCTGGTCCAGGTGCAGTTTCAGACCCCTGTTAAAGACCCCCAAGTCGTTTTAAGTCTGAAAACACTACCTTGTGTTTGCCTGAATGACAGCTTGGGGAATTGACAGCTCAGCCAGCACTTAGAGGAGCTCACCCAGAGGAGCCCTTGAAGCTGTCATTTGCACTGGATTTTCTTGCTGAGTGTTGAGGAGGTCAGTTGAGTTTTTGGGTCAGGTTGTCTCTATTTAAGCCTGTCTGTGAGACTGGAAATACCCCAGGGAGGGTCCCAAACACCCCATCCCTCTGAACCCAGCCCTTAGGCAGTTAGGACCTTGCCCCAGTATGCCAGCCACGCACCTCCTCACCCCCGACAGGTGTTTGTGGCCAGGTGCACAGCACCACGTGGGTGTTTAGCAAGGCACATTGCTCAGGGGGAATAAGTACTCTTGTTTTTAACCCATGTCAGTTGGACAAAGTCCAGACACAAGGACAACAGCAGATTTTCGGATTGTTTTGGTTTTGGCAAGTTGAACCTTAGCCGTTGCATTACTTAAGAGTGCTGTTCTTTGAATACGACCCTAGCTGTCATCATTCACCTGCTCTGACACAACAAGATTTCAGAGACCTCATTTTTCCATGCTTTCCATTGCAAAAGTGAGAACTTACTGATAATGCTTAATATGTTCCTGCTGCATTGCAGCTGTTTCTGCTTTTGACCAGAGATGTAAAGTAAAATTTAATTCTCCACAACTGCTCCAGTCAGATAGCAAACACAGAGGGAGGACTATGTATGGTGCTGCCCAGGTTATTGAAAAAGTGTGTGAGTTGTCCTCACTGTTTAAACTAAGGAAGGAATTAACCCCCACCTCTAATTAACCAGGGCCTCTCCTAAAAGTGTTGCAGAACTTATATCAGGCTTGTGCTGCCACTGCAGGACCAGTGGCATTCTGATGCTGTAGTCCTTGTTCGTGGATGTATATACATATGTGTGTATACACACTTGTATGTGTCTGTACTGGAGGGGTGATGAAATCAGAAGGTGGCTGTGAAAACTTAATTAAGGCCTGAGCATGTGGAAAAGAATCTTTTTTCCTCCCCATGTTAACTGAAAGCTTGGCTAATGATCACAGTGGCATCAATATTTATGTAAGGTGTAACAAGGTGATGGTGCTGGGATTCTTGGTGAGAGAAAAAAAAAATAGTATTTTTGATATACCTTCTTCTCTGTTTATTAGATTGACAAAAAGCATTGGTTTAGGTGCATAAAATGAGGGGGGAAAATTAGAACTAAGAGTCAAGTTTGTTTGGGGAAGCATAGCAGAGAGTCCTTCATGACAAACCAAACCCAGACAGGCAGGAAAGACACACCAGAAGGGACACAGGAAGAGGAAGAAGTCCCATCTATGGGATCAAGGCATCCTTCAGTAGGTGCTACTGAGGGTAAAAAAGAAATTAAGGGAAGTTACCCTGGTTCTGTAGCTGGGTCTGTTTGACTGTGCTGCACCC